CTTGTATCGCTGAAGTTTCTCGGAAAGAATTTCTATGGGAAATTAACAAACGAACAGAGACGTAACAATATACATACTATATTGAAAGTTAGAAGTGTTAAATCTATGAAGACTTGAAAAGAGTACAAAGAGGTCACATGGTTGGTCAAATTGACCGAGCTCATGTTGAGAGAGTTAAATTGTAAAAACTCATGAAGAAAGCAAAGGAGAATATACTATAATACATCAACCACACTACCTGTGTCATTTCCGGTGCTAATGAGGCCTTTTGCCAAATACCACCATTCATCAGGCCAGCTGGGGTATAACAGACATAGTAGTGGTGTTGTAACTACCTGTATAATTTTTTATGAATAATGACTATTATGCTATAAAATAAATTAATCAAATTAATTATAGTTCTTATCAATTTTACTTAAGTCTTTTACAAATCATATTTTATAGTAAGAATTAATATAACATTATTTACTTTTAATTTCAAAATTTATTATCTTATTGCAATTATTATTATTGTTTTAATTAACTTGACACCATTCACAAGAACTGACAAACAAACAAACAAGCTAGTTTTCTTGTTCCCAGAGCAAATCAAACAACCTCAACATCAGTTTAAAAAAAAACTACCTTAGTAATTCTAAGAATCCATGGTTAAAAGTAAGGGATAATATGTCAATTGTGCAACATCTGCCATATCTAGTAAACTTATATAAAAGTTAAATTTGGTCACTTAATACTGAAATGCACTAATGTTTCTATTTGTACTAATGCTACTGCATATCCAGTACTATTGAACTGGTTATGGTCATGGAAACAAATGTCAGCTGAAATAAGGTTGGTGAATTATACATTTGGATGTTACATCTTGAGTTTATTACTCATTATTTAGTATATAATATTAAACTAATTCAGTAATGACAGCTTTTGCAGTAAAAATTGATTATTAATCTTTCATTTTATGAGAACATTATTTCTTTTTTAATCATTAACAGCTTTACAAGCACAAATTAAGTAAGAAAGAACAAACACAAATTTACAAGAATATGAAGATGATTACTCCAACTAGTTTCGAAGTGCACGTGCATCATTTTCAAGGGTATACTATGTGTGTGTGTACAGTGACATCTAGCGAGTGTTGTTTATTTTCATATTGGATTCATTTGAAAGTGCATATCATTGTTTATGAGTGTGTCAGCATTCTTGTGTATTTCAATAGCTTCTTTAATATTTCTTTGAAAATATTTAGGTTCTGCAATGAGTTTTGTTTCTGTGAATTTGATTATGTGGTAATTTTGGTATATATGAGTGATGACAACTGATTTTTCTATTTCCAAACAGCAGCAGTGATCTTCATGTTTTTTAATCTTATGTTCAAGGACTGTTTAATCTGACCTATGTATACTTTGTTGCATGAAAATTGTGAGTAATGTTAAGTACATTTCTCTCTTAATGTTCAAGGGTACAGTCAAAGAAGTTGAACCACTTCCTTAATTGTTGATCACTGTCTGGAATGAACATATTCATTGCCTGATGTTTAATCTGAATGAATAAGTACATTCAATCAAGTAGCTGGATAAGGAGGAAAGAGTTAAGAATACTTGCCTAGCCATTCTTGGCAAGCCAGATGAGGAAGTGCTGAATTTAGAGATGAAAGACAGCTCTGACAGTTGCCAAGCTATTAAGGATCATGTGAATGGAAATAAAGTATTTGATCTGGGTGTTAAAACTCTATGATAAGAGGATAACTAATCACTGGTTAATAAGATATTATTTGAAAATATAGTGTACTTTTAATTTTCATTAGCACTTGAGAGAGAGAATGTTTCAATTTTGACATTGAAATATTTAGAAGATAACAAATTTTCATGGAAAGATAAGAGTTATGGAGAGACTCATGATATGCCCCAGGGAAAACACAGTTTTACTTGTTATTTTGTAGTAAGAGTAGTTCAAGGTATTTTGATTTGATTGCAATAAAGGCATAAAGTTTTGCTAACATTATTTCAGTATGAAATGTAGTGTAAGAGGAGGTGGAAGGTAACTCTCTTGTGGTGAAACTTTGTATGTTGCACCAAAACCAGTATTAGAGTTGTAAATGGAAGAAGTTCCCTAAAGAAAGACAAGTCAAGTGTTAGTAAATTTTAACAGTCAAAGTAAGAATTAGCCCATTTAACTCTCCCAACATGGGGTCACTCAGTTTGACCGAATCAAGTGACCTTTTATATTAGTTTAAAGTTGATACAAGTTTAATACTTATAACTCTATATATATATTGGGTATATCTTCACGAAATTTGGCAGACTTTCAGCTAATATTACAAGTCTTTCACATACGAAAAGTCACATTTTTTAGTGAAGTATTTTTAATAAAATAAAGTTTTGTCCATGAATATATAATGAGTATTTGTTTTGAATAGTCCGTGTGCAAAGTAATTTTCATGTAAAATTGAAAATACATTTGTCATCTCAAAAATTTCAAATTTTCTTTGTGTAATCCCTAAAACCTCCTAAATGCATTTTAAACGTTTTTTTTCACTAAATCCTTATAGTTTATATGTTATCTTCTCTACCCTATCTCAAAATGGGATCGGTCTATTCGACTGAACTTATAACCACCAAAGAAAATTTAAATATACCTAAATTAACCTTTTTTCTTTCTTTCTAATATGACTTCAAATTGTAACATGAAACTACATTCATTTATCCTAAGTAGCTCTAAGTTTGTAACAATATACATTTATTTATAATTAAATTTTATTGTTTTATTGCCGTTTGAACTGTGTCTAACTGCTATCCCTACCATTATAAGTTGTAAATCACTCGGGAAGCGTGCAGCTCACGTTACGCTATCGAATTACATTACCCACAAGCTGCCTGCATATGTGCTTCGTGAACCATTTTAATTATATTATTATTATTACTTATTTTACCT